CTAAAATAACCGTCATGAAATGTCTAATATTATATTAAATGCGGCTCTATAGCACGCGTTGTGTTTATCGTGCAATTTATACACGAAAATGTGTTTTTACGTGCATATGATACGCAGTTTTTCGCGTGCATTTGATACGCACTTTATTGCGTGTAATACACACGCATCCCACACCACTAATCCTACCCAACGTATAATACACACGCACCAGACACCACTACTAAACCTACCCATGCGTATCATATGCACGTAAAAACTCTTTTTCGCGTATAAATTGCACGATAGACACAATGCGTGCTATAGAGACGCATTTAGTGTGATCGGGTTGTCGTTGCAGATAAGACACACCGGCTTTGCATTTACAAAACTAGGTAGGATGAACGCATAGTTGTCTTTTTATTATTCTTTGTATAACTATTTTCGCTGTCAACTTCCCTTTTTAGACTCTTTGATAGTGCCATTTTCTCTCACCAGCTTAAATGTTAACACGACGTAATAGCGTAAAAAAGTAGCTATGCAGTTTAGTAGGCTATGCGAGGATGCCAAGGAATAATTCTAAGTTTAAAAGTAGTCTACGTCAAATAATTATTACAATAAGTTAGACTCCATTGTGTAACAAGCAAATTAAAATGATACACATTTATTCACAATATGGAAAGAGGAAATAAAACATAGTTCGTTAAGAGCATGACTCAAAAATGCCATTAATGGGCTTATTCAAGTCCTCTTTTATTTTTTTAGTTATTTTTATCCATTCCGCATCTCCCACATGTGTGTTTTAGCAAGGCAGGATGTGTTGCAAGATGCCGCAATATATCGGGAGACATGTGGGTCAGACATGATTTTGACCACTTCATTAAGTTTTGTTTTGTAGAAAGCCTATCTAAAAATTTAATTTCGTTTTGTATCATTTGTATCTTATTTTTAATCAATGTTTTATCAACCAATTGCTTGTATTTAATAAAAGCAAATATAGCAGACAATATAATCGGACATGGAGGCGCCGGCGAGATTGCATTGCTCGTGAACTGGAGCTCGTCTCATAAATTAACCGAAACTCAGCGTTTAAGCTGCCTCACATACACGAAAATATATAGAAAGCTTAAAAATGTCTAATTTTAAACGAAACAATTCAAAACGAAAAGAAACCGACTACTCTCTGCTTATGTAATCCATATGAAATGTGCATTTCTCTCTATAGGCGCGTTAACTACTGCGGTCACTATTGCAGCCGACACAAGACACTTATAAACAATTAAAATGTCTCCTTGCTATATTTGAAACATTCATAATCATTACTTTTGCCGGTTCCTTGTGACAGCTTATGCGTTATTGGCAGCGTCACCCTCTGGTTACATGAACACGGCGTCACCACCGAATCAGCACCGAAAACATGGGAATTTTTTTAGACAATAATCCCACGACCTATTCGATATTCTATAATTAAATCAACAAATCGAATATTCGAAAATCGTGACTCATCCCTACTGCTTTATTAATGTATCCAGTATAAAACCCGGACACTGCCACACTGACTGTCCTACTACAGTATTTAACACAGAGTAACAGCTCACTAACATTCTAGTTGCATTTTTCTTCAATTAATTTCTTAAATTATCCATTGACTATGTTCTGGCCCGCCATCTAGTGTAAAAAATTTTTTTTGGCCCGATGCCAACCTTACTTGCCGACCCCTGATCTAGGGGGTTTTGAGGGTTACTAGGTGGTTAAGGTTCCAGACAAACAAAGACCCCAGCATGTCGGTATGCTGCAAGGTGGCAGCCCCACCAACCGACCATCCTGCGGAGGGCTAAAAACCCACCCAGGAGAAACTATTTTGTTACGAAATCGATCAGAGAAAGTAGCTGGAGTATGCTGACGACACCATCCTGCTCAGCACGTCCTACAACCAGCTGAGAGATGCTCTGGGCATATACAGCGAAGAGGCTGAGAAGCTTGGCCTTCAGGTGAGCTGGACAAAAACCAAGTTCATGTATGTCGGTGACGGACCTCATCCAACTTCCCTGCGGCTTGGCAATCACATTGTAGAGCCTGTCAAGAGCTTTGTGTATCTGGGATCCTTAGTGACAGACAACGGGGAGCTAAAACCAGAGATTACCCGCAGAAGAGCCCTGGCTGCGTCAGCCCTGCAGTCTCTCTGGAAACCACTCTGGCGGCATCAGACCATCTCACGCAAGACGAAGCTCCGGATTTACAACTCGGCAGTACTCTCCATCCTGCTTTATGGCTCGGAGACTTGGCCCTTAAATAAGACACTGACTGCGAGATTAGATGGCTTTGATAGCAGGGCCCTCAGGACCATCGAGAACATCAGGTGGCCCCAGCGGGTTTCCAATCAAGTGCTTAGAGCCCGCACGTGCCAGCCCAGAGCATCCTGCCTGGCTGCGCAACGTCGCACCCGCTGGCTCGGCCATGTCCTCCGTCTCCCTCCTGACCATCCGACGAGAGCCATTCTCCAGTTTGATCCTAAGGCCGCAGGCTGGAGACGACCACGAGGTAAACCCCGCACCCGATGGCTCGACGTCCTTGCGAGCGACCTCCAACAACATGGAGTTGCTGTGGAGGATGCAGAGCAGCTGGCACAAGACCGTCAGCACTGGAAACAACTGGTTCATCTGGTCGGCTCAACGCACAGGGATGGGACGCCCCCCCACCCATCGCAGGAGCCAAAATGAATGAGGTGGTTAATAGGGTGTTATGGGTGTAATGATCTTGATGACATCATTCTAGAGTTCTGCAACCTTGCTCTGCTTCACAATCGGCAGCCTGATATGTGGTCTCTATCAAACATCGTGCCAGTGCCCAAATCCGGAGACCTCTCGAAGCCGGACAACTACCGAGGTATCAGCCTGACCTGTATCACTGCGAAAATCTACAACCGCATGATTCTAAACGGGGTCCGGCAAGCAATCGACCCTCACCTGAGAGTAAATCAGAATGGATTTCGAGTAGGGCGAACTGCTACAACCCAGATCTTGGGACTCAGGAGATTGATAGAGGAGGTGAGGAAGGACAACCTGACTGCAGTCTTATGTTTCATAGACTTCAAAAAGGCATTTGACTCGATTCATCGAGGCATGATGGTGAAGATCCTGAAGGCATACAGAATTCCTCCGAACCTACTCCGGGCAATAGAGTCCATGTACTCAGGAACAAGGGCCAGGGTGGTGACTCCAGATGGCAACAGCGAGGAGTTTGACATCCTGGCTGGAGTTATGCAAGGGGATACATTAGCCCCCTTCCTCTTTATCATAGTCCTTGATTATGCGCTCAAGAAGGCAATCAGTGGGCGAGAGCAGGAACTTGGCTTCACGTTGACACCAAGGAAGTCAAGTCGGCACCCGGCAGTAGTTTTGACAGACCTTGACTATGCGGATGACATTAGTTTGCTCTCCAATAACATGGAACAAGCTCAGGAACTACTACACAGGGTGGAGCTAGAGTGCACTAAGGTTGGCCTTAGGGTAAATGCAAAGAAAACTGAGGTCATGACCTACAACGTACCACCGGAACATCAACCTCTGATAACAGTAGGAGACACTGTGCTGAAAGAAGTTGAGGACTTTAAGTACCTGGGCACATGGGTCAACTCAACTGAGCAAGATCTAAAAGTGAGGAAGGCACTTGCATGGAGGGCCCTGAACGGCATGAACAGTGTATGGAACTCCAACCTCTCCCGCCAAATCAAACTCAGCTTCTTCTACGCGACAGTAGAGTCTGTTCTCCTCTATGGCAGTGAATGCTGGACCCTGAATCCAACCCTAGAGAAGTCCCTGGACGGGTGCTACACCAGGATGCTGCGTGCAGTGCTTAATATCAGTAAGAGTGTGCATGTAACCAACATAATCCTGTATGAGGGAGTATCAAGAGTGAGCAACAAGATTGCTGTGAGGAGAATGAGACTTGCAGGACATTGCCGAAGGCATCGCGAGCTGCCAGCCAGCAAGCTGGTGCTATGGGAACCAACACATGGCCATCGGTCAAGAGGACGTCCCACGCTAACATACGTAGACATACTCAAGAGGGATACAGGAGCCCAGAGCACCAACGAACTGGCCGGATGCATGGAGAATCGGGATGCCTGGAGGCAACGATGGTAGGCTCGTCTGAGGACGACTTAGAGAGAGTGGTTTACAGAGTGTTGGTGGTTACTCTAGGGTGTTCTGAGGGTACTAGGTGGTTGCTAGGGTGTTCTGGGTGGTTTATAGAGTATGGGTGGTTAATATGGTGTGCTGGGGGTTACTAGGAGGGTACTAGGTTGTTCTAGGGTTACTAGGGTGTTCTTGGTGGTTGCTAGCGTGTTGCATGTGCATTTATAGTGTGATCATTCATACTGGATCTGCAGTGAAAACTGCACTGTTTTAGTTACCTAATACTTTGTTCAAATCACCAAGTATGAGCCCTTGCAAGTGCCACTTAGTTAAAAAAATAAACTTTCTGAGCGAACTAGTATGGTGCAGTAATAGTGCAGCGTGAAATGGGAGCGGAGTTCACCCTTCTGCCGCCGCAGGGAGAAGAGCTTATCAAGTGGAAACAGTGCTATGGTGGGGGTGGTGTGTGTGTGTGTGTGCGCGGTTGCGTGATACAGAGAGATTTCCCACTCATGGAGAGGAAACCCTGCCTTGACAACATGCCAGCAGTGCTGTGTGGGTGTATTTGTGTGCCACTTTGTGTGTGTGTGTGTCTGTGTTTTACACTCCAAAAACGTTTCATTTGAGGGCATGCCAGAGCCGCTCAGTGAACAGATAAAGACATAAAACGTTTTTATGATCTCATATTTCCTCGGTGTGGCCTGTCCAAGTAGCACCGCAGCTTCATGAGGCTCAAAAGAGATTACATGACTAATCATGGTAGTTATTAAGCTCATCTTTCCTGTCTTTTCACCACGATCAGCTTTGATCTATCCAGATCTACCTGTGGGTTATGGGTTTAGTAAACCATGTCAAATAGATAAGCTTTGTCTTCTGTTCCCCGGGCAGCTGGACAACGTGGACGAGCAGGCGGCACAGATCCGCAGAGAGCTGGACGGGCGACTGCAGCTCGCCGAGAAAATAGCCAGAGTAAGAAACCTTTACCTGCTTCTATCTTTACAGTGAAAACACCTACGGATTGCTATAAAAAAATAATAATAATTGTTTGTGATCATCCATATGCGTTTTATTTACTGTAGATATCATCTTGTGAGGTGGCGTTAGTTCATTACAGAGTGCACATCAGTGTTTCCTTTACACAGGAAAAGCCATGATGTCTGATTTGCGGACAAATGATTACGATTTGGTTAATGAGTCCATTAGAAACCAGCCATTTTGAGTCAGACTCAGTGAATCATTCAGAGCCATTATGGAATGAATGAATGAGAATAATTTTATATATATATATATATATATATATATATATATAAATAGGAATAAAAAATAAACGTTTTAAAAAAAACATTTTGAAAAAAATATATTATTAGTTATGCTATTTTGGGGGACTCAGTCAGAGCAATACGGAGCAATACAATTAAATGTAATAAAAAAACAATTAGCAAAAAAATATTAAGTTATGCTATTGTTTAGCATATTGTGGAGTAAGTCAGGATTAAATAATATAAAATAACATAATAAAAATGAATAAATAATAAATTGTTTTGTTTTTAAATTGCAAAAAAAAAAGACTTTTTTTAACGTATTTTGGACTAAGATAGTCATATTGTGGACTCAGTAAGTGTGTCATTCAGAGCCATTATGGAGTAAATGATAAACATTACATAAAAAAGAAGAAGAAATGTTTTTTTTTTTCAAAAATGGTATTGGATAGTATAACCAGTGTTTCCCCAACCCTGCTCCTGGAGGCACACTAATGAGCGTTTGCATACTATCCGTCCTAAATAGTATTCGAAATTAGAATTAGTGCGTCCTAAAGCAAAGTATGTTTTTAACACTTTTTATCCGTGTTTGTAGTTCCAATCGATTCCTCGTCTAACTAGCAATGGGTTGTGGACAATATTAGCCGTCAGGGTGTCCAAGGATCTGCACTTCGGATTCTAACCGGAAAAAGTAGACCATCCGGGTATCTTTAGAACACTCATTTCAACATACTACGATTTGGGATGCATTAATTCTAATTTCAAATGCTATTTAGGATGAATATGTGAATTGGGACACAGTGCAAGACCAGAAATATATGTGTCAGATAAGGGAGACATCCAAAATGTGTAGTGTTGACGTGCCTCCAGGAACAGGGTTGGGAAACACTGGGTTAGGCTATTCTTTGGATTATTGTGGACCAATCAGTCATATTGTGACATTGTGAGTGAATGAATGAATAAATAAACAGTTAGTTAGCATATTGTGCACTCAACTGTACGAGTAACAATGTTCATTCTGTTTTATTCTGCGTCCCATAGGAGAGGAAGTTCCCGAAGTTTATTTCCAAAGACATGGAGATGATGTACGTGGAGGAGCTCAGGTCATCCGTTAACCTGTTGATGGCTAACCTGGAGAGCCAACCTGTGGCCAAAGACTTCAAGCCCAAAATCAAGCCCAAACTCACACCCATGAACAGCTTCCTGGACATCGGCGACGAGAACGACTTGCCCCTCTCCAAATCCGACGTGGTGCTGTCATTTAGTCTGGAGGTAGAGATTGATAAAGATGCCATCAATCATTGCTTTACAGATAACCATGGTGTTTGTGACGGTTTTTATTTACAGTAGCAATACTTGCATGTATCACATTACACAGCTACAAAACGTTAGAATGGTTCCACTAGGGATTTAGGGAATAGATCAATCAGTGGTTTAGTTAAACAGCTAGTTGCCAAAAAGTAGTCTGAATCTAAATAAAGTTGAATTGTCGCTCAGTCTGATCGTGTGTTCTCATGACCTTTGCTCAGATTGTGATCATAGAGGTGCAGGGGCTGAAATCCGTTGCTCCGAACCGAATTGTGTACTGCACCATGGAGGTGGAGGGAGGAGAGAAGCTCCAGACGGATCAAGCCGAAGCCTCCAGACCACAGTGAGTATGGTGTTCACAACGCCTCTACATGATACGGTTTCTATTCACCAAAGAATCCTGAAATAGGTTTCCACAAAGATATTAAGCACCACAACTGTTTTCAACATGATAATAATAATGTTTCTTGAGGAGCAATTCAGCATATCGGAATGATTTCTGAAGGATCATGTGACACTGAAGACTGGAGTAACGATGCTGAAAATTTTCCTTTGCATCACAGGAATAAATCACATTTTACAATATATTCAAAATCTGTAGAAAAAACTGCTATTTTAAATTGTACTGTTAAATGTACTGCTTATAGAATTTTTCACAGTATTGCCATTTTTACTGTACTTTTAGACTGTACTGGAAAGCAAGGTTAGCAAATCCAAAGGTCAATCCTCAAACAGGGTCATGCAAGGGCGAGATAGTCAAAAGTCCAATATCATATCCAGTAATATACCATAAATTAAAAATAAAGGTCAAATACAAGACTTCATGAAGATAGACAGTTTTATTTCTCACAATGTGGCTTTATTTATCATAATTGCAACTTTAAATCTTGTAAATATGACTTTATATCTCACAATGCGAGATGTATTTCTTAATCTCTTATTTTATTTATTAACTTTATCTCACCCTCAACTGCTTTATTCTTTATTCTGAAATTGAAATGGTGAAACCAAACAATAGAGTCAAGCTAGTGTTTTCTGGTAAGGGCTTCCTCTGGTGATTGGGAGTTGCTTTATCAGAAACAGTTGCAAGTCCAAGTGCCAGTTATAACCTTTTTTAGATAAAATGTTCCTACATGTTTTTAAAATAGCGTTTTAAATGTCTCTTTATGTTAACCGCATGTTTTAACTGAAAGCATTTCCTACACAGTCATTCATTATTGAGATGTACACAATGTGCCAATCTCTAACCTTTTTAAGGTCACTGCTCTGTTTTTTCTATAGTACGCTGAATTACAAATCTGCTGGGAACATCACACACTTGCTTTTTATCTTCAAACCTTGAGCATGAAATCCCTCTTATCTCATCAGCTCACCATTAGCGTAGTGACTTGTTTTGACACTGGAAATATGCCAGCTGCGCAGCTCTGAAGACAACCCCGAATGACACTCTTTCTGTATTTTATTAAGGCAATGTAAATATTAGATATCACCATACTTCAACAGTTGTTGAATTACAATTTTGTATTACAAGTGCAAATGCAAATGAGGCGTTATCTAATTAAATATGCACTAATTTGCATACATTTCTAGAACAAAAATCTAAACATTGGATGAAGCCAGGTGCAAAATTGTTATTTCTTTTTTTGTTGTTGATTATATTAGTCAAAGGTTTTTACAGAGGGGATTTTGGATATCTCTTTTTATCACTCCATAAATCTGAAAACACTGCCAACAACAAAAAGTAAATACATTTCAAGTTAAGTTTGGTGTATGTAAGTGCTAGTGGAGATTTCTGGCTCAATGTTTTTGCCTGTAGTGTCTCGCCTTAAGCAAAACAGATTAAAAAAAAAGTAGTTCCTATATCAATTTTGCAACATTTTTTCCTTCAATGCAGAGAAAACTAGAGAAAAAAAGAGTTGGCCTTTGTCTTTATACATCTACAATTGCACTCGCAATGACGAGACACCTAAGACAGAACATTTCAATGTGCAGTTTGAGAATTTTTAGGAAACAAACGAATCCCCATTGAACAGCCCTAGAGATTGCAGACTCCCTAGCCAGTATACTAACTAACTAGTGGCTGAATGAGACACACCCTATTTAGAAATTGGATTGAATGTGATTTTTTTTTAATAACAATGTTTACTTAGGAGCTTGGACTGTTTTTCCAATCAATACAGAGTCAGTCAATACTTCTCCCCCTCATTTTTGGATTTCATCTTATTGGTTTTAGTTTATTAGGTTTCATATTTGTTGTTTGTTGAGTAGTTGTGGAGTTATTGTGTATTTATAGATGCGGTTACTTTAATTTAGTAAGTAAATGGTGTTCTCAGTATTTTAAGGGGACTTTGATTGCTGACTTGAACTGATTGCTACTTTGACCAGGTAAATGCAGGAGTCTTTTTCTCCGAGAGCTCTTGAATCAATCTCACCTCCAGGAGTTCCACTATAGGCACGACATGACAAGGAGGAGGAATTCATCAAGCCTAGATGAGCTTTTCTCGCTCTCTGTGAAAGGCAGGTGGCCTTTAAGAATGTAGCGTTGCTTGGAAATATGACTCAGATCACACTCATTTGGCCAGTTATCCAGCAAGATATTCTAAACGGATGCAAGGAACGCAAAGTCTGGAAGAAATGGACCATCGATGAACAGCTTGAGATTCGATGTTGCTCCTCATTTTGTTAGAAGGAATATGGGTCTTTTTTATGTGGATTTTGCTATGTCGACCAAAACTGTGTATATACGTGTGTATATATATATATATATATATTAGGGGTGGAAATCTTTTGGTATCTTTTCTAATCAATTCTTGAGGTCACAATTCTTCGATTTGATAAATGCAAAGATTTGATTCTTGTTGACTGTATTGTTACTTTTCCTATTTGACTGCGATAAATGGTTTAATAGGTCTTGAAGAAAATCCCACTGAATTAATTGTGGACCTTTTTATTTATTATTATTAAATGCGAAATTTTAGTTTTTCTTCTCATTTTGGTCAACCCAATATTATAAAACAAATGCCATTAATAATTATTTACCGCTTGTCATGACCATTTTCAACCCTTTTTTTGACCCAAACGTTTTTTTGTTCTGCCTTTAAAAAATCTAATAGATGATCTTCACACAGTAGGATTTCATTGTACACATATTGATCTTAGTATTCAAATATCAGGGAAAAGTTGATTCCTCCTGTTAAAAGTTATAACCTCTGTAAAACAGTTTTTAAGCACATTGCAACCTAGAATGATATTGTCAACTTTGTATTGTGCACTTATATAAAGGATTCCAATTGTTTGGGATTTTTTTCCTCCTTAGTTAATATATATATATATATATACACTTACCTAAAGGATTATTAGGAACACCATACTAATACTGTGTTTGACCCCCTTTCGCCTTCAGAACTGCCTTAATTCTACGTGGCATTGATTCAACAAGGTGCTGAAAGCATTCTTTAGAAATGTTGGCCCATTGATAGGATAGCATCTTTCAGTTGATGGAGATTTGTGGGATGCACATCCAGGGCACGAAGCTCTCGTTCCACCACATCCCAAAGATGCTCTATTGGGTTGAGATCTGGTGACTGTGGGGGCCATTTTAGTACAGTGAACTCATTGTCATGTTCAAGAAACCAATTTGAAATGATTCGAGCTTTGTGACATGATGCATTATCCTGCTGGAAGTAGCCATCAGAGGATGGGTACATGGTGGCCATAAAGGGATGGACATGGTCAGAAACAATGCTCAGGAAGGCCGTGGTATAAAAACGATGCCCAATTGGCACTAAGGGGCCTAAAGTGTGCCAAGAAAACATCCCCCACACCATTACACCACCACCACCAGCCTGCACAGTGGTAACAAGGCATGATGGATCCATGTTCTCATTCGGTTTACGCCAAATTCTGACTCTACCATCTGAATGTCTCAACAGAAATCGAGACTCATCAGATGAGGCAACATTTTTCCAGTCTTCAACTGTCCAATTTTGGTAAGCTCTTGCAAATTGTAGCCTCTTTTTCCTATTTGTAGTGGAGATGAGTGGTACCCGGTGGGGTCTTCTGCTGTTGTAGCCCATCCGCCTCAAGGTTGTGCGTGTTGTGGCTTCACAAATGCTTTGCTGCATACCTCGGTTGTAACGAGTGGTTATTTCAGTCAAAGTTGCTCTTCTATCAGCTTGAATCAGTCGGCCCATTCTCCTCTGACCTCTGGCATCAACAAGGCATTTTCGCCCACAGGACTGCCGCATACTGAATGTTTTTCCCTTTTTTACACCATTCTTTGTAAACCCTAGAAATGGTTGTGCTTGACAATTCCAGTAACTGAGCAGATTGTGAAATACTCAGACCGGCCCGTCTGGCACCAACAACCATGCCACGCTCAAAATTGCTTAAATCACCTTTCTTTCCCATTCTGACATTCAGTTTGGAGTTCAGGAGATTGTCTTGACCAGGACCACACCCCTAAATGCATTGAAGCAACTGCCATGTGATTGGTTGATTAGATAATTGCATTAATAAGAAATTGAACAGGTGTTCCTAATAATCCTTTAGGTGAGTGTGTGTATACATATATACATATATATATATATATATATATATATATATATATATATATATATATATAGTTATCAGTTTTATTTCCTCCAGCGGACACTTTTAATCTCATCAAAGTGAATCAGTGGCTTGTGAGATGATTATGGTGTGTTATTGTGCCAACATCTGCCAGAGTCTTGTGGTTAAATCTGCTAATGCTCACATTTGACCTGACAGTGTGATGTTAATTATCACAGAGGATTCAGATCTTGCTGATCTCAAGATTTATGCATGTGCCATTTATGTAAAAAGGGGTCATATCATGAAAAATATACTGAAAACTTCCCCAACATTGTAAAAATCTTTCAAAATCATGTCAAACTAAATTACAATGTTGACTTTATCAGTAAAGGACGAAACTCCTTTAATGTAAGGAAAATTACAAGTGGAAGTTCTATGTTGGAGTTAAATTAGAATTACATTTTAATCTGGCCAATGATGTAATTTCGTGGAAATGTGATTACAGACAATGTGGCAAGGCATTATTTTAAGGCATTAGATGTTTATTCTAGGTCTTTTAGTGGCTTTTTGCACATAATCTACAAATGAAAGTGTAATGAAACTCATTTTCTTCAAGGTGTTTTTACTTGGGGGTTTTTTTATTCCTTGAATGCTGCTTTTCTTTTTTTAAATCGTTTTCCCTTGCAGAACTGAAAGATTAAACTCTCCACTGCAGATCTCTTGAGTTTTAAAGATGATTATTCTCAGTGGCTGGTTTTGTCGACTTGAGCGTGTTGCACACAAATGCGACTAAATTAAGAAAGTCCTTTTAATGTGAATTATGTATTGCATCATTGAACTGCTTTTTTATGAGATGCAAAGAACTGTTGTTTTGTTGCCTTGGCAACAGTTTGCTTATTAAATGGTCCTCTTTTCTTGTTGTGGGGCTTCATACAGCCTCTAGGTGCATGGTGAGAGGTCAATTTTAGACCAGTAACACAAACAGACCTCCCAAAATATCCTTCCACTGAATGAGCTCCCCAAGGCGGTTTTGGGCTCTAGATAATGTCAATAAGAGTGAAGACAAAAGGATCTCCTCTGTCATTGTCATTGGCAAATGCTGAATCCCATTGAGATGGATGGGAAGGCTAATAGATAGCATTGTCCAGATATTGCGCACATCCTTGGTAACATCATAAGGCCTATAGACACCCAGCCGAGGTTCACACAGAGGCTCAGATACCAAGACTGTCTAACTAGACAGTGATTCAGCTCTATGGCTCAGTGTTTGCTATAGACACACAGTCTAGACTAGCTGTGAAAAGTGTGCAAGTGTGCTGAATCATGATTCAGGAGTTAATGCCTAATTTGATTTAAGAGATTCATTCGTTCTGCTCAAGTGTATAGTTTCTTCATCAATATATTCAGATCTCATATGCTATAAGCTCAAGCTCAACCAAGTGGACATACAGTACAGTTTATCTGCATTACAGGCCTTGTTTGAGTTCTTATACTATAGAGAAAACATGCTTGGCTTGCCATATGACATTCAGAATGCTGTCTGTGGGCTTGATTGCTTTAGAAAGCAGAATAACTGAATTAGATGTGGGAGCCAACTCCTACAGTCAGTTTGCCACAAGCAACTGTTGGCCCGCTTGAGAGAGAGAGTCAGTTGGATTATGTTGTTGTGTGTTTACTCAACTATAGATATACAGTATGTCTGTATTTTATGGTGATCTTATCTCAGAAACTCACACATAGACGCACACTCACAAGCTGATATGCAAACATGCCATACTTGAAGACGACTCTGACATGCTCTGCCAACTTCTCTGACAGTCTTGCTTTTAGAGTCAAATTTTGAGTCTTTCTTTTGTAGTCAAGCCATGTTTTAAAGTCTTGGTTTTGTTTTTGTTTTTTGGAGTCAAGTTGTGTTTGTTTTGTGTTTTTTTTTTTTTTTTAGTCTTGCATTTGGAGTCAAGTCATGTTTTTAGAGTCAAAGCCATGTTTTAAAGTCTTGTTTTTTTGGAGTCAAAATGTTTTTTGTTTTTTTTAGTCATGCTTTGAGAGTCAAGTCTTGTTTTTGAAGTCAGTTTTGGTTTTTAAGTTGCCTTTGAAGTCTCATCATTTTTTAGTCATAATTAGTTTTTAAGCCTTTTAATGTCATGTTTTTGAGTCTAGTTTTGGTGTCAAGTGTTGTTTTGGAGTCCAAATTAGTTTTTTAGTCTCGCTTTAGGGGTCAAGTCAAGTCAAGTCAAGTCAAGTCACATTTATTTATATAGCGCTTTTCACAATACAGATTGCATCAAAGCAGCTTCACAGTGATAACATGAAAGTAGTACAACACAGTTCAATAATATTGTTGAATATTAAATATCCCCAACTAAGCAAGCCAAAAGCAAGGCGACAGTGGCAAGGAACCAAAACTCCATCAGATTGGATGGAGAAAAAAACCTTGGGAGAACCCAGGCTAGTCAGGGGCCAGTTCTCCTCTGGCTAACAATCATAGGGTTTTAAAAAAGCTTTACAGTAAGTGCATATCAGAGAGTACCTGGAAAAAATACATTTAGTTAATCATGTAATATTTAGGGGATAACATATCGCCGGCGTTGAGTCGTCTCTTCGCAGGCGTTGAGTCGTCTCTTCACAGGCGTTGGTCTTCTCATCACAGGCGTTGGTCTTCTCATCACAGGCGTTGGGGCATCCGAAATCCCCGTGAGAGGCAGGATACCAAACTGGAGCCTACGAACGCCATTTTTCTCGGGACAAGCGTCCCGAGATAACAGCAGAAAGGCAGATGGGAAATAATTAGCATAGCTGATGTTCATAATGATTTCCATTACATGGGAGTAGGTGTTAGAAAACCATAATCTCACAACTCTCCGCAACCCAAACTCTCCGCAACCCAACCGCAAAAAAAAGTCATGTTTTTGGGACAAAATTGTTTTTATGTTTTGGCTTTGTAGTCAAGTTATGTTTTTAAACTTTGTTTTTAAAGTCAAGACTTGTTTTAAAGTTCATTTTAAAATGTATTTAAATAGATTTTTTGAAGTCATGTATTTTGAGTCAAAATTTGTTCTCATTGAAGTTAAAGCTGCAGTTAAAAATTATCCAAAATTAATTTTTGAGCAAAAAAACTATCTGCTTGCCTTAGCTCGATTCAAAACGGTAAGCTTGTAATAATGTTTTTAATTCCAGTGGTACATTCCAGCATGTCTGTGCATCTGTACACATAAAGGAGGAGTCTCGGCTAGTAGGCTATATTGTGTGTGACGATGTTGGAGGTGCAGATTTATAGCCTTTTCTCACAGCACTTGATATAATTAAAGGAGAACTCCGGTCAATTTTAACATTGAGCTCATTTTTTTTGTACATTTGGACACAGTAGTCGATTGTCGAGTTCGCGCGCGCGAACTCGACAATCGACTACTGTGGACTTCGAACGAAACCAGGAAGTAAATACAGGTATGTGAGCTGGCTGAATAAACATCATTTTTATTAATATCTTTCACATCTATTGCAGTCAGATTGACCGTGGTCACTCTTAATAACACCACTCACATGGCTGTGCACTTGTAATGACAAATCAAGGATGTTAAGAGGCTAAAAGCAGGTTTAGAACTTGCCCCAATGAAGTCAACAGGGTGTGAATTTTAAAAAGAGGATAACACGCTGTAGGCAACACTGATTTTTGTCGTTTTTGTCTGTACTGACAGCACTCCAAATGTACGAAAAAATGAGCTCAATGTTAAAATTGACCGGAGTTCTCCTTTAAACATCAATTTGATGGCGGATCCAGAATGGTTCAAACGACAATCACCATTGACAACTGGAGACTCACCCCCAAGGGGGTAATCCATCGACCGGAAGTTGAAGCCGGCCGGGTGCCGCCATGTTGTAGCAGAACTTCACTTGCGTTAGCATTTCCATTGACTCCCATTCATTTTGGCGTCACTTTGACAGCGAATAACTTTACATCTGAGGCGTTTAAAGACTCCATTTGTCCATTATTTATTTCTAAAGAAACACGACAATGTATAAAGTGCTCCATTACCTTCTATGTTACATTATGGCCCCGTAGAAACAGTTTTAGTAAAAATAGGCTAACGATTGCGTCATAACCACTCGACTCTCTGTCGCGCTGTACAGAAATTACCGTACAGACAGGAGGAGAAGCTCGCAGCAATCGGGGGGACGTCCCGTCAAGGGAGAAGCCCATAGATAATGAGTCCATAAAAGCAACGGAATACTTACTCCTGCTCACTCACGCCAAATAACTCTTTGCTCAAGTTCCCCGTCTCTGCCAGATTAACGTTGGCAATTTTCACGCACAGCTACTAGAAGATTAACGTCTGTCAGACAGGTTGCTCACGTCATCAAGCTTAGTTTGAGTCGGTTTGAGTCTGCGCGTCAGGAACGGAAGTGCTCAGAAATCGCTAAAAATGGGCTTCAACTGTCTCAACTGAGTTCCAATGAGATGGCTCTGTCCATTTCTTATACTGTCTATGGACTCACCCGGTGTAAAATGCAAAAGACTTTGGAGGGGCTACAGAAAAAAAGAGACTGCAACTGGGCATGCGAAAACAAGGATAAATATCGGAAAGGCGTTAAATGTAATTAAAAAATATACTGAAACTTTAATTTGAACCTTATTATGAATATCATACTTGTTTAACATTGAACAAACAGTGTAAACACTGAGGGGGAAAATGCATAACAAAAGCACTTCCTCACAAAAACAAATAGATACTTTACCATCCCACATACTAATTGAATCAAATAAAGACAGGAAATATTCAGCAGGCACTCCATTGTGGGTCTGGAGAAGTGGTGAATGCAAAATGAAGTCTCCTATTGTGACGGCTGATTTGTTTTCTTCTGCTACAGGTGGGGCACACAAGGAGATTTCACCACCACACACCCCCTGCCCGCGGTCAAAGTCAAACTCTTCACCGAAAGCACTGGAGTCCTGGCTCTGGAGGACAAAGAGCTGGGCAGGGTAAGACAAGTGTGTGTCTGTCTGTCTGTCCGTCCACCACCGAGGTTTACTGCAAACTTCCTCTGCGTTCAATCTCCACAATGTGCTCAATAATTAGCTGATGTTGCGGGAACAGATGTTCCGCACACAGTGTGTGTGAACCGTGATGTGCGTGCACATGTGTCCGTATGTGTGCGAGGGGGAAAGCGAGCTACAGGCGAGGGAAATCTCTAATCATTAGGGCTCACGCTCCCACAGTAACAGATGGAGACTCCCCATTAGAGACTCGCACCAAACAGACTGCACCTCCTCCATCCGTTTTCTCCTGCCGTCTCTCTCCGATAGTAACCCTCTTTTTCTCTCGTCTCCCGTCATCCCCTTCACACCTATTTCTCCAGCTGCCCATCCAGGTGTATCAGTCCTAATCATTTCTCTTTTTTATTCTCTCTTTTACGGTGTTCTGTCTAGGTGGTCCTTCACCCCACCACAAACGGGCCCAAAACGGCAGAGTTTCACAAGATGGTAGTGCCTAAGAACAGCCAAGATGTGGATCTGAAAATCAAACTGGCGGTCCGCATGGACAAGCCCCCCAACATGAAGCATAGCGGGTACGTCAATAATGATGCTCATATTCTGACCTCCAGGATCTGAATATGTTCTTGCTTGTTTATATTATATAAGACAACAATGCACACATTAGAACTATAAAGAAATTCCATTGATAAATTACATTTCTTTAATAATGTAAGGGTCTTTTCTCACATGTGGGGAATAATCTGTATTATTATATAAATATAGAATGAATAAGTCCTTAGGTAAACTTGTAATGATAATATATACTGTATATAATTTCTTTAGCATTTGTTTGAATGTTTTTTTTTTTCTTAGTAAGAAAAAACCCCAAAACCCATTCAGCTCAAAGCAAGTTTACATGAATGAGGTACATTGGGAAAAGTATGATTATAGTGCCATCTTGTGTCTGGTGATTGTAGATTTCATTTATTGAGATTCTTGTGAATCCACTTATGTCACACATTAAGTTTACTTGGACTTCCAGGAGTCTCTCAGGAAATGGTATCTTGTCTGACACACTGACACCCACAAGATTATTCATAAAATCCCCCAAACTAGCTCTATCTACCCCCCTTCACACGGAGATTCCGGAAAATACATATTTGTCCTGGAATGGTTTGATTTTGGTTCATTCACACTGCCAATGATTTTCTGGAATCTGTGCATGCGTTCACACACATCCCGTAAAGATCTGTGACATCGATAAGACATAAAAATTAAATAATGAAAATGAAAATAAATAGCTAAATAAAATGACCTCAATTAATAATGTGGCAACATTAAACATAAGTAAAAAAGAAATTAAAAAAAAAAAAAAAAGTTATTTGCTGGTCAAGAAGTCAGATTTGATCTTTTTAAAAGCATTGAAAATACAAAGAAGAAAAAACATATAACAAATTAAATAATGAACATTTAAATAAATAGCAACATTTTTTAAAAAAAACATTAAGAAATTGGCAACATTAAACATAAGTAAACAAAAAAAGATATCAAATGAATTATTTATTTGTAAATTACTTTTTTCCACACTTTTTTTCCCTACCAAAACAGCATATTTTTAATCGAATGAATTGTAAATGTTAGTTCATTTTATGACAAAAAATCGGATCCTTCTGTCTGTTGGTTTTCACTCATAGTTTCCAAAAGTGAGTATAGCAGCAGAGAAGATGTGCGGGACCAGCTGCTGGGGTCCTTCCCTGAGCGGGACGGGGTCAGGGGTCATATCAGTGCCATCAGCCTGCTAATTACACAGAGGCCCTGCGTGATTCCTCTATAGAGCGGCTCCCGGAGAGCCCTGTCCTAATTGGCAGAAGCCTCTTCAACCTGGAATTACCTCTTTAGCAGATCACACAAGACATTGCAGAGGACGAGGACCATTTACATGCTCAGACAGATCCAGGCCATTCTCACACAGATAGTGCAAACGTTTGTGCTGAGACATGTTGATTTTCAAATTTATATGATTGTGGCATTTTATACAACATTTAATTGCTTACTTTACCCTCTTTTTATTTAGTGTAATATTTTTTATGAATAATGACTTGAATTTCAGCCTGTTCCTCTTCAGAAAAATGTTCGGCCTTATGATACTCATTAAACATACAAAAAAATCAAATTAAACAAAATATAAAATGAATTTATTTATAATTAGCTGGTCAAGAATTTAGAGTTGGTAATTACAAGGGAGGAAAAACTGATTATAAATGAAATAATTAACATTCAAAAAGCATCATTAACATTTGAATAAATATTTGGCAACAAGTAAACCCAAAATTAAAAGAAAACATTACATATTTTTATTTTTCTAGTTAAAAATTCTGATTTGATATTTATAAAAGCAGCAGGATTACAATGGAGGAAAACAACAGATTTCAAATTAAAACTTAAATAAATGAACATTCAAATAAATGGCTACATTTAAACATAAATGAATAAAGAGCATTATAAAATGAATTTATCGTTGTTTTTCTGGTCAAGAATTTAGATTTGGTATTTATAAAAGAGTTGAATGAAATTTAAATTCAAATAAAAAAATGTAATAATGAACATTCAAATAAAATAGCTACATTAAAAACATTAAATACAAATGTGTCTGCATTAAACATAAGTAAACAAAAAAAATGAATATAAAACATTGAATATTAATTAAAATATGAAATGAATAATTTGTTTATAAGTGTTTTGTAAATTACTTTTTACCTACCAAAACAAACCAAAGCAAAGTTTAAATGAAATGAATTGCACATAATAGTTCATTTTATTTCAATTTTCCAGTTAGACAAATATCTGATTTCTTCAACAGGTCTCTTGAGATTTGCAAGACCAAAATCATACCATTTCAGTCTTAGGTTTTGTCCAATTGCCCATATACCCACTCACGTCCACCAAAACAAACACCTGATGACTGTCCCAGAGCATGGGAAGAGAGGGAGCGGGATTTTCAGGTTGAGTACACCCCATTAAAAGAAGCCATCTGTTTATCAGCAGAGCGACTGAAGAATTGGGAGGCATTCAGTTTTGTGGAGTGACCCAGCATGGCCCTGAGAGAGAGAGAGCTGCCAGCTCTAGTCTGATCAGTCTGTCTCTGTCTCACTTACGCTCGCTCCCGCTTTCTTTCTCCCCCATGCTCCTTTTTTTCTTGTACTTCTCTTTGTACCCCTTTAAAACCATCTTTGCCCTCATTCGCTTGAGGGCCAGGCCTCACATTAAAGCCCTTTTTACACATTCACATTTTTTTCTCATAAAATCTTCTTTAACCTTCCCTTTCGGTTACAACCGCACATTGCATTTGTGACTCATTAATTTGTGTCATTGCTTGACATTTGTTATACTACGTATTGCTAAGACAGAAAGTTTAATAAGATTATGTTGTTTTCATTTTATTTACATACTATAAGAATGTTTATTTAGATTTTTAAATAAAACTTTTATATTTGAAGTTTTTATTTTAATTTCAGTTTGGGAAATTTTGACGTGTGCTTCTATTTTTTATTTTATTACATTTTTAGTTATTTTAGTACTCAATCATGTTTATTTCAATTACTTGCCAAATTTTAAAAATTGAGTTTTTCATCTAATAGTTGTTTTTTATTTGCTTTCTGCTTGTAAAATGTTTTGGTAACGCTTCCTTTTACAGTCCTGTTACCCATGTACTTACTATGTACTTATTAACTATAATTACTGGGTAATAACTAGGTACTAACCCTGAACCTACCCCTAACCCATGTACTTACCTTTTAAATAACCAGTACTTTCTAGGTAAGTACACTGTAAGTACTGTACTGTAAAAGGAAGCGCTACCAATGTTTTTAATTTCTATGCAAATTATTCGCAAATCCGTTTTTTTAATGTCTATTATGGCATTAAATTGAATGACAGGTTATTTTTACACCACAGAGAAATCCATTCTGCTTGTGTTTCACAAACAAGGCCCAAATTATTTAATCTGCATTATTGCCGTTCAACCACATGGGGGCACTGCTACCGTTGTAATAACATCTAAGGAAGCTTTCTTATGGTAATGTTTAATCTAGCTTTTTACAGTCATATTGGCATAAATTGTGAGCTTAACAGTTGTATTATGTTTTAAAGCTCAAATCAGTATCTTAACGTGCATTGTGCAATTTATAGTGACAAACCTATTGACTTTACCCGGTTGTTAGTGGACCCTGAGAACAGGCCGGCGCGATTTAAATCGTTTTTATAGCCTACAAACAGTCTGATTCAACATAGTGGTTTCATTTAGCAACACTGTAAAAAGTGATCAGTTGACTTAACTTTAAAAATAAAAAAAAGTGAGGAAACCTGTTGGATTAAAATGATTAAATAAACTTTGTGCGTAATTGAAAAAATTATGTTATGTGTAATTGTTCACAAGTTCACATTACAAAATTTTTTCAATTGCGCATAAAGTTTATTGCTAAGGCTACAGGATTCCGCACTTTTTTAAGTTAAGTCAACTGATCCCTTTTTAAAGTGTGTTTTATGCAATTATGATTTATAATACAACCATGTCGCGTTAATTTCTTGATGTGTGAAATTAAATAGTCTGAATTAATCACGTCAAACATTTTAAAGCTCTATTATTGCAGCTCTTTTCCACCCGCTGACTGGTTCTTATCTACACAGCTGATAGATAGTGTAGATAACATGAACTTTTTCATTATAATCAAACCAATGTTGTGTATTTTTTTAATATTATTATTATTTATCTGAGGCGAAGTCGGCTGGAAAGTGCCTGCGTTCACCCGGAGGTCGTCCTGCCCACCGTTTGCCGGCCATTGTTGCCATCTAAATGGGATCATGTGTATCAGAAAGGTGTCGGAGAGTGAGCTGAAAATCACTTTCACAAGTGGATGATTACCTCTGCCACATGTTAACCCGGATTGGCCCGCTTCCATGCACTCGCTGCTCCCTCAACCTTGACTGGAGATTTGTTTTTTCCCCCCATGTGTCCATTTATGAAGAATTGATTTCACCTCACCCATGTTTCTGCACACATCCTTCTTTTTTGTTATCTTTTCAAGAATGTGTGTTAATCAATAGCCTGCGATTCTCCGTCATTCAGTGAACATGCTAGAATTCAGGCTTTTGTGAATTAATGAATGGCAGCAACTTCCTATATGGGTTTTATACCTTGGCTTGATAATTATGGTCTTTTTAACATGATTATTTTTTCCTCATGTCAATTTGATTTATCCATGACACTCATAATGTGTTTTTCTCTGTAGGTATCTTTACGCTTTAGGCCAGCGAGTGTGGAAGCGATGGAAGAGGAGATATTTTGTGCTTGTTCAGGTGGGTTGACATCCTAATTACATATATATATTTCAATTGAATTCATTTGTTGCGGGGAAAAGCACTTATTTTTAACCGTTTTCATGCGTTTTGTGTTTACTTATAGATAATTAGTTTTTCCAAAAGAAAACTCATTTTGTATTATTTATTTTAGTTTTGTAACACCATTGGTTTTAAAAAAAAAATAAGGCAAATCACTATCATACATAACCACCATCTTCCAGAGGTGATGGCAGACACTTCTGTTTACAATATTTTACAAGAGAACGACGGAACTGGTATCATTTGAATCATCAGGTTGTCTTGTTTAATTTGATGAATACCACACACACACACACACACACACACACACAAAGAGCGAGCAATATGGCTTTCTGTTGGCGTAAACATTTACGTAATCATTTTTTAAAATTTAGTACATTTGATTAGAATACCACAATTCATCCATGCACAAAATGTAAAAATTTCATGTTTTATTTTCTATTTTTTGTTAAAAAATCTCCTCTCTCTGTGTCTTCTGTTGTTCAGGTGAGTCAGTACACATTTGCCATGTGCAGTTTCCGGGAGAAGAAGTCTGAGCCGCATGAGCTGATGCAGTTGGACGGGTATACGGTAGATTACTCCGATCCGCAGCCAGGTACACACACACTTCAACACTAACCAGTTATTTAGGAACTCCGTCAAATGCTTCTGTGCGCAGTTACTTATTTCAAAATTGGATGAATAATCATAATTACAATAAATTTCAATGAGCCCTCTCTTAAATTAGAATTTTACATTTGAAAGAAATAAATGACGTGGGTATGAAGTATTGAAGAAAACCAGAATCTGTTTAATTACAGAGAACGAAATAAGGGGGAAACAGCATTTATAGATTCAGAATATGCTGTAATAATAATAATGTGCAAATTAAGTCGACATGGGAGTATCGTAAAACTGATTTTATCATTTTATAATTTACCGGTATATGTAAAAATAAAAGATATATTATAAATATTTACAGTGTAATGTGTTGTAGATTATAAATGCATATTTATAATCTCATGGTAATTCATCCATACATTAATAGATGTTTATAACATATTTTATAATATTAAAATAATATATTTTAGATTGATCATCTTATTTTTGAATTATAAAAAATCTCTACAGCATTCTTATGTTAGACAATTCTGGCCAAATAATTGAGATGTTTTTCATGGTGTTCTGTAAAAAATCTAAAACGCATTAATTTATTTGTTATATATATATATATATATATATATTGTTTTACATGTTTATCAGAGTATAAAGCAGTTTTACTTATGAGATCAGCATCAAATGAACAAAACACATTATAGCAAGACATTATATGTGTAGTAGATGCATAAATTGAGCAACAAAAACACACGTATATCAGTGTTTCTTAGCAGTGTGTTCTTGAATTGACTGATACGGATCAACTTGCAACAACAACAACAACAACATCTCTGCAGGTCTTCAGGGGGGTAGAGCGTTCTTCAGCGCTGTCCGAGAAGGTGATCAGGTGGTATTCGCCAGCAATGATGATCAGGACCGCGCTCTTTGGGTTCAGGCCATGTACCGCGCCACAGGCCAATCCTACAAACCACTAGCGCCCGCCCAGAACCAGCAGAACTGCAGAGGAGGAAACGCCCAAAAAGATGCCCCTGTGTCCTTACTCAGTACGTTATCTTTTATTCATCTCTCAGATGCTAATATGATCTTAATTACTAAGCATCTTCAAATGACATTGCAATACATTGTGTTCTGCTTGATTTCAGACACGTCAACGTTTTTTTTAATGCTCAAATTTAAAACCTCCTAAGGTTGCTAAACGAATGTGTAAAGATGAAGAGAAAGCGGGCTCTTTTTCTGCCACCTTCAGCTGTCCCCTCTTGAATGGACTTTGAAATTGGAGGTTGTGGTGGCCAGCCATCGATCCATTGGGCCGCTGCACAGACACAGTCTAAACAAATGTCAGCGGGGGGCTTGAATAACCCAAACACTGCTGCTGAGTGAAAGGAGGAACCTTTACACGACTGAAATGCTACAGTTTGCTCACTTTCAACAAACAGGGAGTGAGCCGAATGAGGTTTATATCATTATCTCTCCCGAAGAACCGCTCTGAGAGCTACAGGGCATTCATTTAGTGCAGAACCTTATCTAAGTGCTAAGGAACACGCCTTAAAACTAGATAGAATCTCATCTAGTCATATGTATGAAATATGAGCACTGATGGTAATTATAAACTTTAAAAAAAATGGCTTTTGAGTTATGAATAAAGTGTCTTCCTGAAGCCTGCATCAGCACTCGACTTCACAACTTTGCGAGCGCAGTCATTGAGTTTCATGAACCATTTTTCAAGGTCTCTTACACAGTCATTTTTGATGCATCTTTTAATATCTCCGAAATTGGATGCAAAAGGCACCTCGAATGATGGCGAATCGTATGACAAAGAGCATGGAGAAGTTCCTCAGTGCCTGTCAGATCACGGACACAGCACGGTTGTCTGTTCTTACCGTGCGAATACCATTGAAGCCACTGATAACTTTGGTATTCGGCCAATTAAAAGGTCATGCATTCTTTCAGAAATACTTCTTACAGATTGTGTGTTGAAAACGAATTTCAAAATGCCATCCAACGAATTCACCTAAAGCTCAAAAATCCAGACCCATTTGATGCCTGTTAACAAAATCCAGCATGTTTCGCTTCACGAGTCCGTGAAGTTATTAACTCGCCCTGACATTGGACTTCCTGTCATTGATTGATTCGCACAGATCTCAGCATTGAGCTGTCTCACTGCCTTACACTCAGCGGTGACCGGCGTCCTCTCATAGACAGATCTGTGTTTTACGTCAAAGGCTCGGGTTTCATATCCAAGCGTGTGAACACCGATGTCCTGTCCTGCTTCATTAGTCTTCCCAACTCTGGCTGGTTTCACTTGAAGCGACCCGCCAGGCCGTACCTGCGATCTCGCAGTTGATACCTGTCATAAAGCTCCCCGTCCTCCTTGTCGGGAGATGTCAGATGGATGTGACTGCTGACGTGACTCCTGGACCGGGAAGCACACGAGGCACGTTCCCGGCCCCTTCAGCTGGGATTAAACACGACGCACCCCCTCCGCTCTGACTCCGTCCACTTGTCCGTGGACAAAAGCGCTAACTTAAAGTTGACACGGATCAATGTGCTGCTCCTGTCAAACCCGATCCGTCAGACTCGCAACGTGGATCAATACCACGTCTCGCTCCTCTTTATCTCCTTTTGTCTCTTTTCTGTCCCTTTCTCGATGTTATGAATGTAAAATGACCTACATCGAATTAAAAGGGACGGACAATGGGGCCGACTCTTGTCGATTGGAGATCGTACTTCTGCTCAGCCAACAAGTGATGTTTTTGGGGGGGGGAACCAACAAATGCCCACACTGCTTCCAGGCACGTACAGGGCTTTTTCCCCATCAATATGAAGTCGTTGGCATGCCAGAAATGGCAGCGTTAATAAAAGCAATCACTAATGCTCGTCTCAAGAAGGTGCCGCTGGCCATGGAGGCGTCAGGAGATGTGTCTCAAAAGCCTTGGTCTTTTGTGGTCCTTGAGAAGCGAAGGCCCTCGCTCTGCACATGTGGGCTCTCAACACGCCGCCAGCGAGTGTTAGGCTTTTCACAGACCTCCCATTAGCCCATTTTGAGGACGCTTGTGAAAGGACTGGAAATGAACTTGGGCACACTTTTAGTGCTTTCTCCTGCTTTTTCTGCCTCGCGTCTTTCTTTCCTCTCCCTCTTTCTCTGACTTGCCCTGACCCCTCGGCCTCTTTGCATCATGCCCAACGTGTCGGCTTTTTTTTCTTCTTCTTCTTCTCCCGCATTCAATCTCCTCGTGTCAGGAAGTCTGAATGCAAAACGGGACAGACCGTCAGCGAACGTGCGCTCGCGTTCCTCCTAATTACAGCGCTCTCACAAAGGTGCGCTCCTTTTACTCAAGGTCGAGACTCAATCAGCGCGGGCTGAACGAGTGACATCACTTTCATACAACTCACCTGTCTTCACCAGCCACCGAAAAAATTGCTTTAAGTGCTCGGGAGTCGCACGTTATTGTTTATATGCTGTTTCCACACAGCGTTTAATGCGCTAAAGATCAGGACATTCAGCCCATCGTAGCTTAGCGAACATCTGCCCTTTATTTTAAAAGGCTGAATGCCGGTTTGAATGCAAGGGGTGTTCGATTGATAAATTAGAGCACTTTGGTGCCGATATTTATGTGGGCATGTGGACAAAGTGCTAATATTTTACAGCAGTTTACAGCCACGCTTCCCTAGCGCCTGCCAGCTGAAATGTGGAAAACTGAGTTTCACAGCATAGCTTTGGCCAAAAGAGGTGAAATGCAAACACTCGGGATGTGTACGAAGATGGAGACTGTGTAACCAAACACAGATTGTGGTCTTTTACACAGCGTTTCAAGGTGTGAACCGTCACAGTGAATAGTAGTATGTATAAAATTCTTTGAAATATACATTTTCCCCCCCCTTTGCTCTAATGAATGTCTTCATGTATTAACAGCACGAACGGGCATTAACTGGCCATCTCTTATGGTGGGGATAAGATTCCCAGCACAAACGCCAGCGCGTGCCAGACTTCTGACTGTGTGTGTTTCTGGCACAGGTCTGGAGAAGACTCAGAGACAGGGAGTGGAGGAGCTCATCTCTGCGATGCCCTGCAACTTCGACCACACCAGCCTGTTCTTCGTCCTGCAGAAACACACACTCACACATCGCATGAACGACTCCTTTTCCTGCCTGGTGAGCTGAGAGAGAGCACAAATCTGGGTGTTGTTATTTGAACAATCACGCATATGATATGATGTGTTTTTATTAGCGGGTCCTCTGAACAATTCTGGTTACTTTATGGACTTGAGAAAGAAATATTTGGGGGAAAATTGGCGAGTGATGATATAATACAAATTTAAGCTGTATGTGTTTGACTCCTAAAAAAAATCATTTGTTTAGGAATCGTTAGGAATCTTTTGTTTGGGAATCGATTCGGCTACACTGGTTGCACTGTATGTTTTTGATTAATTGAAAATAACCAGTTCATACAACTAATTAATTTGGATGCTGGACTACTATGGTTGTGTTGGATGTTTTTGATTCACTTATAAGAACTGACTCAAGAACCATTCATTTAGCAATCAGTTGGACTACTCTAGTAGCGCTGAATAGTTTTGATTCGCTAAAATTACTTAAGAATAATTCATCCAGGAACTGTTTGGAATATATTGGTAGTGCTGTGTAGTTTTGAATTACTGAAAATAACTTATTGGTAAGAATCATTCATCTGGGATTCCATTGGGTAGCGCTGTATGTTTTTGATTCACTAAAACGAGCCGACATACAAGAATCATTTATTCAGGAATTGCTTGGACTTCACTGGTAGTGATGAATAGTTTTGATTCACTAAAAAGAATCGGCTCATATGAGTCATTTGTTCAGAAGTCGGACTACACTGGTTGTTTTGAGTGGTTTTGATTCACTAAAATGAACTGGCATATAAGAATCATTCGTTCAGGAATTGATTAGACTACACTGGTTGTGCTGTACGGCTTTGATTTACTAAAAAAAAGAAACTGATTCATAAGAATAGATTGGGTTCTGTCTGGTTTAAAATGAGAACGTTTTAAATGCATTTGCAAAATTAGCATAAAGTCTGTTGATTCCATTTGTGCCTGCTCGTAAGTGAGTGTGTGATGTGTTGGTGAAAGTATAATAGAGGAGGGGTTTATACTGTATGACTGAAGGGGAGGGATGTAGCCCTCCGGCTGAGTGAGGGCTCACGGTTAAGACAGGGATAAACACTTCCAATCAATACAACCCAAATAGGAAAACCATCCACTTGCATCCCGTCTCCTCCATTTACTGCCTTGAATAAAAGATCCCTGCTGGGACTGAGTTAGTTTGTTTATGCCTGTGTGCGTGTGATGAAATTGGAACAGGCGTTAGGAACATATGCGGGTAAATAGTCCACAATGGACTACAAGTTGGGTGGAGGTACACAGCCAATGGTGCAAATGAATAATTGTGTTATTTATATATTGTATATATATAAATTAGCAAATGGTAAAAAATTATATATATATATATATATATATATATACCTATATATTTCCCCCCATATATATATATCGTTTTTTACCATTTGCTGTTAACACCCTCACTTGTCCACCCCCACCCCACCATCTCTCTTTTCGTTCTCATTGTCGCTCCATACCTGCTCCGAGTGAGCACCTTCTGTTATCCATTCAGCTTCTGAATGACTCTGTCTGCGTTTGGCTCTTTGTAAAGACTCCCCAGCCTTTGTTCAAACTTCTGTGTTCAGCTAAAAGGGAGCCACAAAAGCCACCTGAATGTGCTGCTTTTCCCATGCCTTCTGGGATGTGACATCTGTGGGGGAGTGGGCCTGTTTTCAGGGAATCGAACGGAGGGGGAACGGATTTTCCAGGAGACCACATGCATACTATATGATTGACTACAAAATGTGTCTTATATAGACTATATATATATATATATATATTATCAAAACAGACTTCAGTCCTCTCTATCTTTGGATTCAGATGAGGTTTTTTGCAATCTTTATGAAATCCGATCCGTTTGTTCTGACAGTTTCGGCAATATCTGTTTACCTGGATCAGTTGCTATTGTAATGTAAGCACATGTACATTTTTATGGCATTACAAGTTTGTCAAAAAACTACTTGAAATCCAATCTTAACAAAAAATCTGGTTTTAATCTGATTTCACACCACATTTGGGATCATCGAAAACATCAAAAAATGTTGTGTGTATATGTGTGTGTGTGTATGTATATATATATATATACAAAATATTTTTGATGTGTTTGATTCAGTATGATCCCAAATGTAGTGTGAAATCAGATTTATATATATATATATATATATATATATATATATATATATATATATATATATATATATATATATAAAGATAAATAGATAGATAGATAGATAATTGTAGTATATTATATTACATATATGTATATTATTATATTATATATTAGCCTTCAAGTCTCAGATTTTCAAGCTTACTCCAAAAAAGCTCACAATCAATAAAAGTGGCCTGAAGGAAAATCAATAAGTGATGCTGTTGTAAGACTCAACTTTTTTTTTTTTTGCGTCAGCTGTCGTTTGATACAGGGATTAGGTTCAGTGAGCTGTTGGTGATTCAAAGACCAATATTTGGATTTTCTTTCCTCGTAACTACAGGGAATGTGAACACTAGATTCCTTGGACTGTGTGTGCATCCTCAGAAGTGACTCCAAAAGAAAAAGTGTATATTTGCAATCAAAAAGTTCAGGCTGTGAATGTGTCCTCAAATTAGGGACCGTGATAAGCAGTCATGCTCCAACCTTAATATAATTACTCACATCCCTTTCACCCTCCATCCCATAATCACACACTCTCCCTGTGACACACTCCTCCATGCTTGCCCTTATTAACAAGCCATAATGGCCTATAGATGGTCCATAAAAAGCTTTCTATTACTGTCAGTTACTGGAGGAAATAAAGTGATTCAAGCCTTGACCACACAAGAGACGCATATGAATCCAGCAGGAGAGGCTGTTGACTTATTAGTTGGTTTGTCAATTATATTAAAATAAATGTTGTTGTTTTTTGAAGGTCTGAAGTGCGAATTTTCTGAAGTTGTGTGTGTGTGTAATAATGACTGTATACATTTATTTACTCTGTGGCAACAATACATTCATAGAGTATATATATATATTCAAATCATATAATATAAAAAATAATATAAATAATTATTTTAGAAATACATTTTTTTTTTATCATTTACTGATTTAGAAAATCCAGTTTATACCATACAGAACTTATTTTTGTTTTTCTTAGTGAACTTTTCTTGTATAATATATATTAAGCCAAAAAACTAAATTGGTTTTGTCGTCCACAAGCAAGGTTTTGTCGTCAGTCTCCTTCTGTGTGTGTGTGTGTGTTTGAGAGCCAGACTGGGCCGTGTTGGTTAGGATGATGCTGCTGCCGTCTCAGTCGGTCGTTAGCGGTTAATTGAGCGGTAGGAGCCAAGACACGAGCAGGCCATCTGTTTGCCAGAGTGGAACATCTTGTGGCACTCGGCTCGGCGCTGGGCCACCGTGCCTCAGCCCTGAATGGTGCAATATTAATAGATCTGACCAAGACGGGAAGAGACGGACTGTGACAAAGAAGAAAGTTGAAGGGGGGAAAAAGTGGAAAGATGTGCGGTTGCTCAGGCCTTAAATGTGTTTTTTTTTTTTTTTTGCTGGCCTAGTTGGGAAAGAAGTTAATATTTCCACTGGCTCCATACAATTATTTTTATCTATCATTTTTAAATTATTATAATTATTTACATTTTAATTAAGTACGTTTTTGCACATCACAAGTTATTGTTGAGATTCAAATTTAAGGGTCCAATTTTTTATTTTTTTTTATAGTCATAAACATTTATTTTTATTGTGCTTTGTCCATATGATATTGGGATTTAGCATTTTATTGCATGTTAAGTGACGGTGCACGGGTCATTGTGTCACTTGCATCATCATATATGAGATTTTTAGATTTTTTTCTCATATTTTAATTTTAGATGTAAACAAATATTGTTCGCAGTTGTAAATAAAACTGATTATTGGAGTATGTTTTACAAGAAAAAGGCAATTTCAGTCTTTCACGTTTAATTCAACGTGTTAAGTGGCAGTTCTTTGTAATTATGTGTGAAATATACTAGCAGTATCTGAGTGACGATGGTTTCTACACCAATAATTTTTTACTTTTTTTTAAATACTCCACATATGCGTCACCAGATGAAGTTCTGAAAGAAAAAATCCCTCCTAGATAAACTTCTAATGACAAATTTTCCCCAGAGGTCAAAGTTGTCAGAAAGCTCGACAGATGTTTCCTTTAGTAGATGGTTTGTATGTCTATAAAGTTAGCGGCCAACTGGTGAGTAACTCAAGTTTATTTACTCACCAAAGCCAATTTTTACTCAAAATTGAGAGTTTATGCATATGACTGTGGGAAAACACACTTTTGAGATTACAAGATTGGACGCTTCTTGTGTAACACATCATGCACACACTGTATTCATATAGTATCTGTAAATATTGAAAGGTTTGAAAGGCGTCTGGCTGTCATATATAAGCACTTAACCGACATTTAGAGTAATGCAAATAGCAATAGAGCGGGTTTGCATCTAGGTCAGACAGACCGTTTGACGAAGAGACCGAGCTATCAAGTGCACGCGTCTCAAAATACACCGTACATCAGCTTTGTTGGAATCGTGCGTCACTGGACTTTAATGAAGCTTGCTGTCTTTGCTCCTGACGGGAGGTCAGAGGGTCTCGGTATCTCGCGTGCAACGCTCCCTCGTGACTGCCGGTCTCCTGTGAACGTCTCAGACATCGCAGTTCTCCTTGATTCGCGGCCCTTCGTGGGCGAGCGGCCCCCTCAAAGTGTTAATTTGCTAACGTTCCTTCAGAGAAGGCGTCTTAATTAAGTTTGTAAGATTCATGCCTAATTTAGTTATTATGTGAGGGATGAATGAGCTAATGAATGCAACAGGAGCCTCGCGGCGATCTCCACCCGCCTGCATTACGTGTGACTTTTCTGCCTATGAATTAATTGTTTGCACTTAACCTTGCACTCGTTTGTTTAAATGTTGGAAATAGACGGGGTGTTTTTAACAATATTTTTTTCGGGAGAGCTCGTCTCGCACGCTGCGGTTTGGATTTTTTTTGTGTGTGTGTCTTGGCGTGAAATGAGAGGCGTGCTGAAATTAGACACTTCGAGATCAATTAGCGTAGCAGTGTTGTCGAGGAGAAACTAGGTACGGGTGTACGTTTGACGAATGTCTTGACTTTACGGAGGTCCTGCTGGGGTCAGCGGCATTAAAAAAAAAAAAACTTTTTCTTCGCTGTTGACTGTGGTGCTTGTTGCTTTTGGCCTTCAGATACAGAACATGTGTATGTTGTATGCCTTTTATTAGACGATTTATCTAAAGTCCAAAATAAACACTCACCAAATGCAAGTGCTAATTGACTCTCTTGAGTCACTTAATAATATGCTTTTTTTTACTGCGAGAATGATGCTGATGTATGTAATGTGAGTGAATCAAATGAAAGACATGCTGTACAAATGTTTATTAAAGAAAATTGTTGTGACTCCCCTTTTTTTTTTCCTGAGTTATAATATATACAGCTGGATATTTAGGAGTCTTAGAGAAAAATGTGCATATTTAATGTAGTAATGTATAAATATACATACATTGACATACATACATGTGTATGTATCCTTCAGAAGTCATACTATGAGGGTTTTGTGCTCAATTATTACTGGTACTCAATTAATAATAATGGTTCTTATTATAATAATTGTTGTTGTTGCTTAACATTTTTGAGGAAACTAATAGTTTTTTTTAGGATTCTTTAATGAATAGAAAGTTTAAAAGATCAACATTTATTTGACAGAAATCTTTGTCACTTTTGATCAATGTTATGTTACATTGCGTTATGTTATGTTACGTTAGGATTAACGTTTCTGAAGCATTTGGCTGAAAAAGATGGCTGAGATCAGCTAATTTCATGCTCATAGTAAATGTGTTTTATTCTCATCATGTGCTGTTGTGTTTGCAGGGTTGGTTCAGCCCCGGTCAGGTGTTTGTTCTGGATGAGTACTGCTCTCGATACGGGGTGAGGGGCTGTCATCGTCACCTCTGCTACCTGAAAGACCTGATGGATTTCTCGGATAACAACGCCCTGGTGGACCCCACCCTCCTGCACTACAGCTATGCCTTCTGTGCCTCACATGTCCACGGAAACAGGTATTAGAATAAGTTTTTGTTCTTTTGTGCACATTTTCATTTACACGTATGCATTTGGCAGATACTTTTCTCCAAATTGACTTGGATTGCATTTAAGGTACACATTTTTGTTACCAGTTTTTGCTTTTCCTGGGAATCGAACTCATGACCTTGACCATATCAGTGCCATGCTGTACTGTTTGAGCTTACAGAATGGCTGAAGTCTTTCTGAATCTTAATAAAATTAATTATTTAAGTGTATATGTATAAAGATATACAGTATGCATACAATAAATATTTCAAATATTACTTTATTTGAAAATCATTAAAATGACTAATATATATATATAATATATATATTTATGTATAGTATATGTATTTTTTTTTATATCCAATTAATCACACATTTTTCACACTTCAAATATGGCTGAGAAATTACCCCAAAAGATAATATAAAGTCTTTGTTGTCTTAAATGAGAAAAGCATCAAATATATATATTACAAAAAGTAGCTTTAGAAATATTTTTTTATTTGATTCAACATAGAATTTGTTACACATAAACTTTTAGGTTACAACAGCCTTTTTTTGTATCTGAATTGGTATTTAGATATATTTACAGACCAATTATTTGCAGCTCAGAGGTGGCTTGTATGCATTTACACTATAATTACAATTGCATAAATTATCTCATGAGATTAATGGGTTTTTAATGGGTATTAAAGGGAAAATTCATCCAAAAATCATTTACTCTCCATGTTCAAACCTGTATGACACTCTTTCTTCTGTGGAACATAAAAAAAGTTAATTTAAAAAATGTCTCAGTAATATATATATATTTGTCACAGACAATTACATTTCAGATGGGATTGTAGATTTTTTTATTTATATATATAACTGTAAAATATTTTTTTGTATATTTACACATTTTATTGATGCCGATATTTTATTTTTGTTCATTGTCATCGGGAAAGTACTTTTTTTTTTTTTTTTTATAAAACTGACAACATGTGAAAAATGGTCTCTTATCATTTATATATAACAACAAGCACTTTAGCAATGCCCTATAGCCATTTCAAACTGCAAGGAACATTTGGTTTCCCGGGAGGTTGTGCATTTTGAATTCTCACGTATTAAGTGTTTGAAATCAAGGATTTCATTTGTGTTGGACAAATGAGAAGTCCCACATGTTTGATAGATCACAAAAAGGAAGAAAAAAAAACACTCAGAATGGCTTTTGTCCGCACATAATGGGTGGGCATACAAAAGGAACGAGAAGACAGAAGAAATACTTTAATCACTCGGGAGGCGCTCAGCGTGGCGGCCATGTTCAGCATCACTCAAAGAGAGACCGAGAGCGTCTGCTTGGCAAATTAATTAATGTTTCTCTATTATCTCAAAACGCAAAGCAATTAAACCGTAATTACAGAGTCCATTTGTGCTCCTGCTACATTTGAATAATTTCTCTTTGATAAGGCCTCTGAGGATCAGAATTTTATACAAGCTTGTTTTCTGTAATTGATTATGCGAATTATTGATGGTTTGACATTACTTAAAGACTAAAATAGGCTCGTGTTAGCGGTAAGAGCACTGACTGCGGCTCGTGGTATGAGCAATGTCCCTTGTCCACTTGTTGGCGAAGTCCTTTGTGTTCGCGTGTACTGAAAGCTGTTGGTTTTCCACTTACCTCGAATCACCCGTCAATTGACTGATTAGATGTTAAATACACACGGATGTGCTCCTTCTCTTTGATGGCTAATTTAGTCAATTAGGAACAGTAATGATTAGCCTCTCAAGATAATCATCAGTTACAAATGAGGAAAATTGGCATGAGTAGCTTTTTGTTGGAGGGGAGTGTTGTTTGAATAATGACAGTTCAGCCACGCAGTCGTGTGTAGAGAGTGTTCATGGGAATATATCGAATTTTTGTGCTGTTACTACTTTGGTACTTTGCTATACCCTTGGCCATAATTCAATATGACTTCTTTATGCAGTCCTGGTCAGAATTATTGGCACCCTTGGTAAATATTAACAAAGAAGCCTGTGAAAATAAATCTGTATTGTTAATCCTTTTGATTTTTTAATGAAAAAAATCACAAAAATCTAATGTTTCTGAACAAGAAGTCCAGGACCTCCAGCAGAAAAATAGGCCCACAACATTAAAGATCCACATCTGGTTTTTTTTTATTTTTTTTTACTTCTATCTGACCACAGAACCAGTTCCAGTCGTGCCTGACAACTGAATATGCTGGAGTTTGTTTTTAGAGGAGAGCAGAGAATTTTTTTCTTGAAATCCTCCCAAACAACTTGTGGTATTGTTGGTGCTGTTTGAATTTTTTATTTTATTTTTTGTATTTATTTGTTAGGCTTTCTGACCCCAAGACTAGTCTTTGGCCAGTCAAACTCTCCTCCTCGCCGTGCATTGGGACAATATAGACACACGTCCTCTTCCAGGCAGATTCGTAACATCTTTAGCTGATTGGAACTTCTTAATTATTGCCCTGATGGTGGAAATGGACATTTTCAATGCTTTAGCTATTGTCTTGCAGTCACTTTCTATTTTGTGATGCTCAACAATCTTTTGCTGCACATCAGAACTATACTCTCTGGTTTTACTCATTGGGATTGATGATTAAGGGAATTTGGCCTTTGTGTTTCCTCATATTTATATATTTATGAAACAATAAGTTACAATTTCATGCTCCTAGTCACCCTTGTGTGCTAAAAGAACAAATGAAATATCAATGGGAATATGCTTGAGATATAAATATGAAATATTTTACTCATAAGAATTTCTAGGGGTGCCAATAATTGTGGCCAATGTGTTTTGGAGAAAAACATTTATTTTCACTTACTTCCAATTGTTTTACTTCAATGAAAGATAAAGGATAAACAATGCAGATTTATTTTCCAAGCTTTCTTTGATCATATTTATCAAGGTTACCAATTATTATGACCAGAACTGTACATGTATTCAGTGTTGGATGTATTAAGGGAAATCCAATAGTGCACCAGTTAAGCATTGTTGTTCAGAAGAATTAAAAAATGATCTTTTCTTTTGATATTCCTTTCAAAAGTACATGACAACACAGTACAAGTAATGTGTAACTAGTAAAGTAAAGCATTACTTATTTATTTACAACAAAATATTTCAGTTACTTTTTATCTTATTTTAATCTAATGTGAAGATTATTTTGTGCACAGTTAGAAAAAACAATAGCCTTAACCCTGGTCCAGAGAACCTCTCATCTTCAGTTCAGATGAAAATGCATCCGCTCATCTGATCTAATGCGTCAGTCAATTACTCAAGGAACGGTTATGACAGTAAGCCTTTCTGACGGTGAGTGTGCAGCTTAAAACCTGTGAAGATTGTTGCCATCTTCTTTATCTTCACTACTGATCTTGCACCCACAGACTCCAAGAGCACAACAGTCAGAGACCACACACTTTTTCTGCAGTCTGGGAATTCATTTTCCCTGTAGGGATTTTTTTTAAATGGATCAATAAAAAGTTGTAAGCCGTGTGTTAGTGATGCACAGATCACAGTTCAGTGGGTCAGACGGGCCAAGTAATAAAAAATAACATTCCATGCGAGTGGGTCACTGGTGGATGAGATAAACCATTAATGATGGAAATATTAATGTGTTTAAAGCTGACTATCTACGCAGTTGCGAGGTCCACTTGTTTAAGCAGCAATGGAGTTGTCACGAACTGCTCTGAGACAAGAAGGTTGAGGATCCAAATGCAGTATTTATTGAACAGCGTAATCCAAAGACGTAATTCAAAGTACATGCAAGATCACACACAGGCAGGCAGTCCATACAAACAAACACAACAAGGCAGGGAACACACTGGCAAAAGAGTAATCCACGGAACAGGCAAGAAATCCAAAACCAAGAGACATGAAACCAGGGAGAATGCTCGGAATTGCAGTGTAACACTAAACAAGACTTTGCAGGGAATGAATGTGAAAACCAGGCGATTATAGTGTGAGTTAAACAAGGTAATGAGACACAGCTGAAAACAATGAGCGCTGATAAGTCCAGGCAGAGAATTATGGGAGATGTAGTTTGTGAGGGAATGACAATATTCTGATGTGGAGTGCCCTCTGGTGGCTCTCAAGGGCACTCCAGCTGGTGACCGTTACATAGCCCCCTCTCAAAGGAGGGGGCTATGGCTTCCAGATGCTCCTAAAATTGTCCAGGAGGGAGGTGGAGCGGAGGCGGACCCGGGGGCGGGGGTGGGATGGAGGGCCAGGCCCATGGAGTGGAAGAGGGCCTGGAGACTGACGCCGGGTTCACACCGGACGCGGAAGCGGCGCGGAACGGAGGCCGCTTCCTTTCGGCGCCCATGTTAACCTATGGTGTCATTCACACCAGACGCGGAGCGCAGCTCACGGTGCGGCGCAGCAGGCACGCACCGTGAAGCGCCAGTTTCGGCGTCTGGTCTATTTTTTCCGCGAGCTGCGAGTGATCCGCGTCAATTCCGGCAGGAAGTATTACACCAAGAAACACTCGACCATCCGGTCAATTGTCAAAATATAAGCAATTTTCAAATTAAAATACCCTATAATACCCTATAATCAAAAGATATAGGGCAAGGGCTCTCCTCCTGTCTACTCGCACTGGGAAACAGGAAGAGGAAAATAGATTTAATAAATTTGAAGAGAGGATGTATATTTCAACGGTATATATACACTACTGTCTACCATCTCTCTCTGGCTGCGTGTGTGTCTCGACAACGGATTAATAAAAGAAGTGTACAAACTTCTTGGTTACAGAAACATGGTGTAGGCCTATTTATATTATGAGGTTATTTACTTACCCATGATGTAAAAAAATAGCTCTAAATAAATAACTGAGCAGAAGCGCTTGTCGACCTCCGCGAAGAATACGCGTCTGGTGTGAACAGGCAGGCGCCGGACCGTGCGTGATTTTCCGTTCCGCGTCGCTTCAGCATCCGGTGTGAACCCGGCGTGAGGCTGAGCAGGCGGCCAGGGCGGAGCCGGCGCTTCAGGGGCAGA